CTAGATTAAATATGTGATCCTCTATTGATGCTATTAATTCATAAATATTTTTCCATTTTTGTGATGGCTAACTTTTTATATTATGCTTTCTGTGTTATTGATTAAAATGATTTTGTATTGCATTTTTAACTTCAGTAGGATATTCTATAAAATACTGATTTTGATATACTTTATCAATTAAGATAGATAATACTTCTTTATTTAGGATATTATTTAATATTCTATCTTAATTATATTGAAAATTATTTTGATTAATTTTGATCACTTGTTCTATTTGTATAATTTACATTTTTTTATTCTTAAGATTCTTTGCTAACTATACTTACTTTCTTAGGATTTTAAGTTATGATATAATAGATAATATATATGTATTATTTATATTTATAGATAAAAATATAAGTGCTGTGGATTCAAGATTATATAACTATTTGTAAAGCTTTAACAGATATGTTTGTGTACTTGCTAATAACTTTATGATATTATATTGGTATTGATTCAGATGATATAGGATGCTTTCAATTAATCTATTCTTTTTTTGTAACTCTGTATTTTTGATACTTTGTATTTGATATGTTGATATTAGTTTTTTTTTGAATACCTAATTGACTACATCTATAATTATATATTTTATTGTATTCCACAATTCTGATATTGATTAATTTGCATAATTCTTCTTGATTTTAGGATGTAAATTGATAATTTCCTCAAATTATATCCAATCTTTTTTGAATGCATTTTTTGTGATGTATACTTTTCTTTTTGTTCTCCATCATTTGTTAACTGATAAGAGTAGAAATGGGAGCCGCAACTAGCTGCAACTCTGTCACAATTCTCTGATTGGCTATCGCAACTCTGTCACAATTCTCTGATTGGCTGCCACAAGCTGCAATTAGTTGAGGAGCCATCTTTAGATAAGAGAGTTTTTCATAGTATTGAAAAGAGATTGAAGACTAACTGTATTAATAAGTGATCTGTTTTAATCTAATATAGATCTGATATGCTTAATTAATTGATAGTTAGGACTAGATCCTAACTGAACCAAATCATATCCAAGTATCTTTTGGAATTTATTTTTGATCAAGTAAATATATTGGTATTAGAATGTAGAAATTGATTTGTTTCAATTATATTTTTGAATCTGAGTAATGATATTAGACTATTTTTTGGAAGATCAAATAAATATTCATTAGAATTTCCTTCAATTATGAATAGTTTTGCATGTGATGTGAGTCTGTTTATATGATATAATATTATTCTTTTAGTTTGTCTGTTCTTTTCAAGATTAGATGCTGAGAGATATAATGTTATGATTTCTATTTTGATATTATCTATAAATATCAATGATATCTGTATGAGTCTTTCTGGAATTTTTGTGAATTTTTGTATATGTCTAGCCCAGAATAGATTAATTAGTATGCTTATACCTATATCAAGAGATTATAATTTATTTGTTAATCACAAATAGATATATTTATTAGAGTATAAAAATGTGAATTTGGCTTGTTAATTTATAAGCTTGATTTTAGTAATGATTAATATATCTAGTTTGAGATTTGAGAAAAGTGTGATTATATCTTGAGCTTTATCTGAACTACGAAGTTCTTTAATATTGATTATGCTTATTGATATATTAAGAGTAGAAGAGAAGATATTATTATAAGAATATAGATTTTTATTAAGTTTGAAATTATTGATAAAGACTTTTGGTATGAAATCTATGTTATTTTGTTCTGTATTATTATGGTTATATTGCATTATTAGATGTTTATTCTATTTGACTAAATCTATTTAGCAGCTGTATGTGTTATTCTTTCAGGATATTGAATTAAGATATAAGATTAATAATTATTTTGATTAATAAACTATTGCTTGTCTAAAGTTTTTCATTTTATTTTAAGATGTCTTCATATGAGTTTTTGTTGATAGTTTTCACAAGTGACTCTGACTTAGAGAATATTGGTATTCTTGATATGTCAGAAATTGATTTATTAAATTTGATTAGATTGATGATATTAATTAAGTAATCTAACTTTTTCTCAATATTATTAATCTTGAAAAAAATATTATTTATGTCCTTAGAGAACTTATCCATATCTTGTTACAATTTTTGTATTATTTGCTCTTAATTACTTAATTTAATTTGAATACTCTCATGAACTTATACACTATTATTAACAGATGGATTATTAGAATTTTTAGGTATTTTAATTTGATTCTCTTTGCTGGAATTTGCATTTTTAATTATCTATTTGAGGGTGTTGAGTTTATTTAAGAGAGTCTTTTGTAATTTAGTGTTGGAGAAGATATAATTGGTTTTTGATAAGTGATATGATAATTTTCATAGAGCTTATTAAGTTGATTGTATGACCATACTTTTTTATTTTTGGCAGTGCACAACTTTGTGATGTGTGTGTGTGAGAAATATATATTACATACTTTTGTATCAGTTTGCTCCCATCAAAGTTGTGAGTTTTGTAATACTAGCTTTTAATTATAGCTGCTACCATATCTATTTCAGATTCAAAACTGATTATGACTAGTCTTTGTCTGTTATATTTGACTAGAGATCTTGGAATAAAATAAGTTTTTGCATTGATTTGTTTGAAAATATCATCAAGTTCATAAGCTGTGATACTGTATGGCAAATTGACTAATTTAACTGAGTAGATATCTTTTTGTTAGATAATCTCATGTTGATTAAGAAGTGGTAAGAAGTGTATTCTATCTGTTTCTAGTAATACTGATCACTTCTCAATTGCTATTTTGGCTTGCTCTTTTGTGATATATTGAATAGTTATATAGGCCCACTTATTGATTATACACTATTTAATATCTTGGATTTTATCAAATTAAGATATTACTATTTGAATCTGTTTAACCATAGTATTCAAAGGAACATCTCTTATTGTGATTACTATATTAGTATTAATCTTATTTATTGATGCTGAATGGTTATTTATTAAAAAGTTATTATCTAGAAGAATATGATAGATCTGATCTTGTGATTTAGCTGATAAGAACTCTGTACATATATACTTTTCTCTATTTAAGATGATAAATTTAGCTTTAAGAAAACTATGTAGTTCTACTAATTTATTGTTAATATATGCAATATTTTCTTTTGTGGATTAATTAGAAAGAAGAGTTTTAGCTATCTAACTGCAATATCTCTTGGTACTAATAATCACTTCCTATTCTTGTTTCTTATTATTTGGCTAGAATATTTTATTATCTACTATATTATCATATAATATTATGATTTCATTTTCAGTATGGCTGTGTTTAAATGGATTAACTTCTATATTAGATTGATTGTTTTGACTGATTTGATTATATACTGTTAATTATTTATCCAGTATTAATTAATTATTTATTATTGACAGATCATTATTTTGATTAGTTAACTTAGATGATATACTCTTCTTTTTTATCCATTTGGTATGTGAAATATATGAATCAGATTATTTGTTATATAGATTTTTTTATGTGCTGGACTTGATATTTTTGAAAATTGTATCTGATAATTTGCCAGTTGATAAAACAGAGGGAATGGCAGCTAACTTATTTGCTTGTAGAGAAAATTGTAAGCCAAGAGTATTTTTGAGATATTCTAAAGATGATATTGATGTTAGAGAAGTTTTTTTGAAGAGTTTTCTTTATGTTATTATTCTTTTGTATTGAATATTTTATTGTATAGATGTAACTTAGAAAGAAGATAAAAGAGAAAATAAATAGATTATTTTTGTATTTAATGAGTTTTTATTATTTTTACTATTTTTGTTCTTATAATGTGTAATAATATAGAAAAAGAGTAGAAGAAAAGAAAAATATAATTAATAAAAAGCTGAGATTAAGAATGCTAGACTATACTTTGCTTAAATATTGTGTGTAATATTGTATTTAATGATAGTAGTGGAGATTTTTTTTACTTTAGACATCTTAGACTTCATCTGGTTGAGGGATTGACTGAAAAGAAATGTGAAAAAAATTTATTATTATTATTATTATTATTATTATTATTATTATTATTATTATTATTATTATTATTATTATTATTATTATTATTATAATTCTAATTATATTTATAATCTTAATTATAATTATAATTATAATTATAATTATAATTATTATGATTATAATTATAATTATTATGATTATTATAATAATTATTATAATTATTATGATTATAATTATGAATATTTTGATTATTATGATTATTATAATTATTATTATTATTATTATTATTATTATTATTATTATTATTATAATTATAATTATTATAATTATTATAATAATAATTATTATTATTACAGTATATATAAGCTAAAACTGATTAATCACGTGACCTTGTTTCAATTTTTAAAAATTTTAACCAAAAATTTGAATTGATGCAAAAAAATAATTTATGATACTTTTTGATGTGTCACATGACTCCCATATACTACTCATGTGAAACAAAATTGATTAATGTATATTAAGAGTTGCAATATCATGAAATACCGAATCTGGAACTCTTCTGTGTGATCGATACTTTTTTACTGCATATTCAGCAGCCTTTCCTGTTAAACCCTTGCAATATATATTCATGTAATGAAAAGCTTTTCTTGCAAAATGCCAGATAGTTGACAATGATACCAAATCTAATCCTTTTGGAACAGTTTCTTATAATCCATTCCAAGTGTAATTATAATTTGCACGTGTGTATTTTTTAGTGGCACCCCAAAAATTCTCTATATAATTAAGTTCACAATGAAATTTTGGATAAAAAATAATCTTATGTCCTATTGCAATAATCACTTCTTCCAGCCAGCATTTTTATTCTATAAAGTCAGATTCATTAGCCATAATTGTAACTGCACAACAATTTGCAGCTCCTAATTCACATCCATTCTTGCATTTTAAATGAAGACCTACTCATCACAACCCACATTCAGACAATACAATGCGCAATCCTTTTGGTTCTTCTCGAAATAAAATATCTAAATAATCCAAAGGAAAAATCATATCTTGTAAAATTCCATTTCCAAAAGTTGTAGATCTAAAAAAAATAGTATAATTAACATAAAACTAACAAAATATGCTATCTATATAGTTAACATATCTCATTTTCAGTTGCTTTCCTTTTAGTTCTAAGTTCATTCTTTTAGCTACAAGAGTATCAGATGCAAAGGTCGCATGACTAATTGTATTATCGAAAGCAAAAACTCCAATTACATCAGGAAACTATTCTTTAAAAATGGGAATTACCTTATCTTGCACTTGTGTTATAAGATCTTCACCTGTTCACCAACCATCACCATTGGCATCTGGAATCATAATAACACACACCTCTTTGGGATAGTTTGGAGAGTTTGCCTTATAATAAAAAATTATTACCATGTTCACTATATAATAATGTTTAAACTTTTAAAAAGATTGATTAACATACCTCTAGCTTTAAACACCCACATACATCTGTTAAAAATTCACTAACATGCAATAATCATCTCTGTCCTTTCTTTCTTAATGGTTACTCACCTTTAGGCATCCAACACATTGGCATCCCATCATATGACAAAAACATAAATTCATCATATGTGATGAGTATATGTGGCTTTTCTCCAGGAAGTAGTTCTGGCCATATTTCTATCTCCATGTTCTCACCATCAAACACTGGCATCAACTTTTCTAACTTTAATATTTTACATAAAAATACTATCTGGTATGTTACAACATCTTTTCATTCATGACCATTAACATACATTCCCTTTTTTGCATGAGAAAATTCATAACCAAATACTTTTAAGTAATTACGTATCATATTAACATGAATTGTTAGGGTGGATCAAATCCAAGATCTTTAAAGTATAATAAAATGAACATAGATACCATTTCTGTATTTTAAAAAATTCATGTACAATATATTTACCAGAAAGAATATTTTTATTTATGTATTCTGTCAAAGTCTTTGGAGATACTTTGAACTTATTAGATCGGATAAAAGATTTTATTTGACTGACAATATCTTCATCCTAGAGAAATGTAATAGTTTTGATATGGAGACTACTTCTTGTTACTTAATAATTAATAAATTTTGAATGATCACTTCATATTCAGAATGAATAAACAAGTTTAAATTTTAATTACTGGAAGTGTCCAAAATTTGACATAGTTGTTCATCTATGTTCAGATATTTTGAGCATGATATGGTTCTCGATCAAGAGCCTCACTAATTGCTATTGTCATCTTTATTCTTGACTATTTTTTATAAAGAAGGTTAAGATATTAGTGTACAGATTGGAGATGTAACTTGAGAACAGAAAACTTTTGTCATTGAATATCCCTCTGAATATTTCTTGCTATGATTTTTAGAGTATCTTTTTCTTCCTCCTCCTCTTCTTTCTCCTCCTTCTCCTCTATCACTGCCACCATCTTCTCCTTTTCCTTCTCTGCCACCACCTCCTTCTCCTCCTCTGCCATCATCTCTTTCTTCTTCTCTGCTGTCATCTTCTCAATATTAATATTCTCGATCTCATGTTCCTCTAGCAATTTGATAGAGGTTTCAGATTTTTTTTTCTTGTCAACATTTATAAAAAATACCTTCAGAGTTGGTATTTGCACTGTCACTTTTTTGAAGAAGATTTTTCATCACCACCTTGTCATTCTTGAGTTACCAATATATATCAAAGATCTTTGGTTATTGCTTATCCAAGCTTTACTTGCCTCCATAAGCCTAAACATCGTATTTCTATAATTTTTGCTCATGGTTTGGCCATCATCTTCATTAATATCGAATCTGCAGCCAAAGTCATCATCTTTGCTCGTGATTTGACCATCATCTTTATTAATATCAAACTCATAATCAAAGTTATCACTTGAGTAATCATCTTTATCTGGCTCATTTATCCATCTTTTCTTTCTTCAAGTCTCTGATGCAACAGCTGTTTGTTGCTTTTTTTTAGACAGATGAGGTATAGAGTGAGATTCTAAGATTAGTTGCGACCAATCAAAATTTAATCACATGCACGAATTATCTATTATCAATAAAATTCATTTCACGTGCATAGAGTTATATTTCAATTTGATCATGATCATTAGTGACAATTAATAAACTTTAAATGTCTATAGTATTCCTTATATTTTGAATTTTGAGAAAAATTAATCATTATAATATTCGTCCAGGTCTTTTTTATTGAATAATGGTGAGTTTTAATTGAAAAAAAATTTTCAAAAAAAGTAGTAAGAGCTTGAAATTTTGTGATTGATTTTAGC